GCGTGGTTGTGCTATGCTGTGCTAATGCTGCGCTAAGCTAAGGTAAGCTAAGCTATGCTAAGCTGAGCTAGGCTAGGCTAAGCTAAGCTAAACTAAGCTAAGCTAAGCTAAACCAAGCCAAGCTAAGCTAAGCTAAGCTAAGTTAAAATGAGATAAGCTGAGAGCTAAGCTAAGAGAAGCGAAGCTAAGCTAGGCTAAGCTCGGCTAGGCAAAGCTAAGCTAAGCTAGGCGAAGCTTTGATGAGATAAGCTTAGGCTTAGCTTAGCTAAGCTGGGTGAACCCAGGGGGCGCAACTGGGGGAACCGCGGGGCGGGGACCGGGGGAACCGCCCGGGGCGAAGCCCACTGCCCAGCCCCTTTAAGCCCAGCGAGTAAAAACCCTCTAGGCAGAGCCCAGGTAGGGAAATAGTGAAAAAATAGTCTGGGGACTATGTTTTGACTATTTTTGAGCATTTGTGCTGCATGTTTGGGATATTTTTCATTTTTCGTCCAAAATCCCCCTGTAGGGGGACAGGCCCGACCTAAAGCCACCCTGGGCGGGTTAGACCGGTCCCAGCCCTGAGATGGGGGTGCATGCGCCCCTCTCCCCCGGCCACTCTGTTTCTCCGACCGCGCGGGCGCTCGGACAGGGAGCGCACCCGCAAGCGCGCGCCAGCTCGGCGCAGAAAGCTAAGGAAGGGAGTGAGGGGAGGGTGTATGTGTCCCTCTCTATGTCTCTGTCTCTCTCTCTCTCTCTCCCTCTCTCCCTCTCTCTCTCTCTCCCTCTCTCTCTCTCTCTCTCTCTCTCTCTTTATGTCTCTATGTCTCTCTCTCTCTCTCTTTCTGTCTCTCTTTCCCTCTATTCCTCTCTCTCTCTCTCTTTCTGTGTTTTCGCGTTCTCTCTCTCTCTCTCTCTATCTCTGTGTTTCTCTCTCTCTCTCCCACTCTCTTTATTTTTCTCTCTCTCTCTCTCTCTCTCCTTTTCTCTCTCTCTCTCTCTCTCTCTCTCTCTCTCTCTCTCTCTCTCTCTCTCTATATATATATATATATTATGTATGTGTACACTTAGCTCACAAACATGATACATGGCGTTATTCCCCCGCTGCGTCCTTGTGAATCGCTGTTCAAAGTATCTCAGCCGCGGCTTGATGCTTCGCGCAGAGCCGATATGTTAGTGCCTTTTGCAGGACGTATACGCACGACGATCGATCAGCAGACGCGCTACTGTTCCTAATCCTCTTCCTTCACCTGTCTATGTCTCGTCATGCTTCTTATCGCTGCAGCAAAGAATCTGGCGGCACGGTTTTCGGCCGAGTGTTGCCGCATGGCCTTGGCAAAACAAAACATGACCAGGTAGGAAACATGGCAAAACATGAAGCAAGATCGAGAACGACCGAGATGTGGTGAGATCGCTAGTGAGATCAGTAGTGAGATCGATAGTTGGATAATAGTGAGGTCGACAGTGAGATCGGTAGTTGCGTCGATCGTGCGAGCGGCAGTGAGATCGATAGTGAGGTCAATAGTTGCATCGATAGTGCAATCGATAGTGAGGTCGATAGTGCGATCGATTGCGAATTCGACGGTGATATCTATAGTGAGATCGATTGTGAGATCGATTGGGATCGTTCCAGGGATCGAAGGTAAGATCGATAGTGAGATCGGCCGAGTAAAATCGATAGTAAAAGCGATCGTAAGATCGATAGCGAGATCGATTGTGAGATCGATTGCAGGGTCGATAGCGAGATCCGTTGGGTGAGATCTATAGCGATATCGGTTGTGAGGTCGCTCATGTGAGATCGGTGGTGAGATCGATTGTGGGATCGGTTCACTGGGCAATCCTGGTTCCAGTCCGAGCGACTACGTATCGCAGTGCAACCACCGTGGTCAGTTCGATCACTACCGCGGCCATTGTTATTATTGCTACCACAGTTGTGTGGCCCACGTCGGTATTGAGATCGATCGGGTGGCATCGATAGCGGGGTCGATAATGGTATCACATCGCGGCGCAACATCGTCATCACGTGTCGTCGCCAACTCGAGGGCGCGCCAGCAGTTGGTTCTTTCCCCTCCCCCCAACCTCCTTGTCACCCGAGGGGTAGTTTTATAAGTATGCAATTAAAGAGTCGGTATGGCGTCACACTTCGTGGTCCGATAGGTCGTGGCGCACCGCAATATTATAGGACAGTCGAAAACGCGTCCGTCGAATCATCGTTGCCCCCTGTCTTACGGAAACGCTTGTGTGGTGAAATGTTGGGCTCAGTGCGGCAGTGGCCCTGGTGCTACCCGAGCTGTCGGCGAACCACTTGGGGAACACGGTGGAGGGGTCATCTTGGGGATGTATGGGGGCTCGTTCCTGGCCTTTGGAGCCTTCTTGGGAGCCACCTGGGCCTCTCTTGGGGCTCTCTTGGGCCGCCTTTGGGCTCTCTTGGGCCGTGTAGCGCCTTCGGAAGCCGTCTTGGGAGCCTCTCTGGGCTTTCTTGGGGACCTTTACTGCCGTCCTGGGGCTCTCTTGGGCCGTCTCAGAGCCCTCTTGGAATCCTCTTGGGGTCTTTCTGGGCCGTCTTGCCCAATCCTTTTGGGTTTCTTGGGATGCTGGACGCTCTGAAGACCAAGAAGGCGACAATCGGGAAAGCCTTTGAAGCACCTTGAAAATCAATGACTCGTGCCCTTTGATGCGTTCCTGGGGGTCCTTTGGAGCCCTCTTCGGCCGTCTTGGAGGCCTTTTCGGGCCAGCTTGACGCCCTCATGGGCCGTCTTCGGGCCCCTTTGTACTTGGAGGCCACCTCGCGCGAGTCTCTCCGGAAAAAGATTGCAGCCGGTGCATCTTCATCAAGGGGGTTCTGCATCTATTTGCTTACATGTCTTGCGGGGGGGTCATTATTCTTGGTCGACTGCCAGTCGAGTGGGGGAGGGGTTTTATCAATAATGAGCAGCTCGTTTCGAACAGATGTGTTAAAATGTATGCAAACACGATGTGTATAGTGTGTTTTAAACGCGTTTGGATGTTAAACATGTTTGCTTGGTGCGCGTTTCGCTTCTCGGTTTGCTTTACCACGGTTCCGGGGTCGCGTGTCGTTGTTCGTGTTGTTTGTTTTGTCTATTTCGCTGTTCGTTTCGTTGTTCGTTTCGTTTCGCGCCACCGTCGTCTTTCGATGTTCCGATTGCGTGGAATCGGAATGTTGATTATTGCTTTATGTGTCGTTTCATGTGGTGCTTGTTGTTTATGCTGTTTTTCGTTTTCAGTGGCTCGAGGCCGAGCAATTATTTTCCTTCGTTTGAACCGTAGCTTTTGGACGTTCGCTTCGTTGTTTGTTTCGTTGTTGTTTCTGCTGCTTGTTTGCACTTCTGGCCAGAGCTTCAACGTGGGCCCCAGCCTCTGCCGTAGCCCCAGCCATACTTATGGGCGTTCGTTTCGTTTCGCTATTCGTTTCGTTTCTGTCGCCCTTCGCCCTGGCCACAGTGTCCCGGCGTTCGTTCCGTTGTTCGTTTCGTTGTTTCCCCCTCGCTATTGTTGTTGCGTTCCTGGCTTGATGTTTGGCCTGGGCCCCAGCCTCTGCCGTAGCCTCAGCCGTCGATCGGATGTTAGTTTCGCTGTTCGTGTCTTTGTTCGTTTTGGTTCTGACGCCCCTCGCCTTGGCCATAGTTTCCAGGCGTTCGTTTCGCTGTTCGTTTCGGTGTTTCCTCCCTCGCCCGGGCCCCAGACTCCAGGGCCCCAGAATCCATGGCCCTTGACTCCCAGGCACCCAGGCCCCAGACTCCTGGGCCGTAGACTCCAGGGCCCTGGACTCCTTGACCCCAGACACCAGGGCTACAGTCCCCTGGGCCCTAGAGTCCTGGGCCCTGGATTCCAAGGCCTTAGATATTTCTGAGCCCTAGACTCACCTGGCCCTAGACTCCAGGGCCCAGACTCCTGCCCCCTAGACTCCAAGGCCTTAGCCGTCTCGGCAATAGACTTCAGGGCCCTAGAATCCAAGACCCCAGGGTCCTGGGCCCTAGATTCCTTGGACGCAGACTCCTGGGCCCTAAACTCCAGGGCCCTTCACTCCTGGGCCCTGGACTCCAAGACCCTGGACTCCTGGGCCTCAGACTCCTAGGCCCTAGACTCCAACGCCTTAGAATCCTGGGCCCTAGACTCGTGGGCCCTAGACTCCTGTGTCTTCTCTATCAAGGCCCTAGCCTCCTGAGCCCTAAATTCCAGGGCCCTAGATTCCTGGGCCCTAGCTTCCAAGGCCCTAGATTCCTGGGCTCTGGACTCTTGGGCCCTAGAGTCTTGGGCCCTAGACTCCAAGGCCTTCGATCTGTGGGCTCTAGACTCCAGGGCCCCAGACTCCTGCGCCCTAGACTCCAAGACCCTAGATTCCTGGGCTTGAGACTCCATACCCTGGACTCCTGGTCCCTAGGCTCCAGGGCTTTAGACTCCTGGGCCCTAGATTCTAGGGCCCCAGACTCCTGGGCCCTAGGCTCCAGGGACCTGGACTCGTGGGCCCTAGACTCCTGGTCTTGGACTCCTGGGCCCTCGACTCCTGGGCTCAGACGAGGGGCGGCGACGGCGGCCACGTAGCCGCCAGACCGAAGACACGGCCCAGACGACGGGCGGCAACGGAACGGCGACGGCGGCCACATAGACGCCAGACAGAAGACACGGCCCAGTTCCTTAGAACAGAAGTGAGAACCTGTATTTGCAAGCACTGCTTATTGTGTTTATAGCGATCGATATATATATATATATATAACAATTATGCAGGTGTAAGCACTTTTCATGTGTGTAAATATACACATACATAGAGAGAGAGAGAGAGAGACAAAAAAAAAGGAAGAAGAAAACCAAACAATATACAAAACGAAATCCCGAATGGGGGAGGAGGGGGTCGGAAGAGGAAAAACTCGAAACACCTACGCCCAAAGGGCTGGTGGAATTACGACGTCGCTTGCCCGCCGCCGGCCCTGCCTTTGTCAAAGCGGACCCCCTTCTGCGTCTTCCCCCTTTAGGTCGGCTCCTGTCGCGCCGACGCAGCTGCGACCCCAGCGCGGGCGTTCAGGCTTGGCTGCCGCAGGTGGCCCAGGATCGGCCAATATGGAACGATTCGGCAGCCGAAGAGCCGCCGACCGTAGAAGGTTTCACGATCCATGCGGTGTCAGAAACCCGCGTTGGGGTCGCCACGACACGAGCTTGCCGCACCCGATTCCTTAGCCAGCCTCTGCTTCCCCCTCGGCTCGGCCCCATGGCCCCGGCAGCCGCAGGCCCAGGTCTTGATTTGCTCAATGCTGGGCCACTGGAAGTCCCGATCCTTTCCCCAGGGCTGGCCTTGCATCAGGAGTCGTTTTCTGACGGCCCCAGGGCCCGACAAGAGCCCCCAGGGGCCGGTGCAGTGTTTGCACGCGAGCGTGTTTGCAGAGAACAAAAAGGGAAAGGGCGCATGTGCGGCCCTCGGGGGCCCCTCCTCCGGAGATCCTTGCTCGGGGCACCGTTACCGAGTTTTAGCGCCCCTTGAGGGCGCAGGCGATGAGCAACTGAGCAACCACGGCGCCGCTACTCACAGCCTGGGGCAAAGGACTCAAGCCGATGCCCTTGCACCAAGATTCTTGGCTCGAGAGGCCAGTCCTCCAGCGCTCCGCCCCGCAGCCGCGTTGGCTCCCCGAAGCTGGTGCGCCACCGTGCGAGCCCGATCGCCGGCTCCGCCCCGCGAAGGCTCCGGGCGGCGCACAGATCGACAGCGTGCTCGCGTCGCGAGGAAGATCACGACGGGAGGTTTTTCGGGTCGGGCGAAAGGGGGGGATTGGGAAAGGGGGGGGTACGAAATTTGCTGCATGCAGCTGGTTTCGGCCTCACCGAGGGGCCCATTCCTCGATACATAGCCGCCTCCGGCGCCGGGAGGCGCCGGGAAAATCAGCTACGTGAGCTGATTCTCAAACCCCCCCCTTTGCTATTCCCCCCTTTCGCCCGACCCGAGTTTTGGGCAGTGTTCTGCTTCCGGGGGCCCTCGACGGGACCACGAGTACACGGCGACCCGGGATGAAAAGCCAGCCTCGGGGAAGGGGTCGGGATGTCCGGGGAGCCCGGAAAAGCAACGGCATCGCATGTCCAGAGACGAGCCCGGTAGTCCCGGCTGGCCTCAACATGCACCGCTTCCTTTGCGTTCTCGTCGGCACCGTCGAAGCGAGCGACTTGTCAGGCGATTACGTTGCGGATCGAGGAGAGAAAGTCCCGGCTGGCCTCAACAGGCCCCCCGAACCAGCCCAGGGCGGTCTCAATAATTCGACCTTGGGGCGTGGAGCGCGTGAGGGGCGCCGCTGGAGGCGGCGTCAGGGTGTTCTGGCGGCGCGCACAAAGGGGGCAGGGGTGAGGGGGGAGGCTTCTTAGAAGGAAGCTGCTCCTTGGAAGGCGCCGGCCTTACGTCTACAGAGAAGGCCCGCGCCTTCTCAGAGGCAGGGGTGCTTCTGAGAAGCCTTCCCCCCTCCCCCCTCCCGCCTGCCCTCTGCGCGTGGCCGACACACCCTCTGTTTTGGACGCCCGACATTGGTACGGAAAGCATGGGCACAGTGCCCAACAGCACATGTTGTCCCAGACCGACAGCGGCCGCTGTTGGGCAGGCTGCTTGCTTTATCTTCCACGAGCAACGTCCGCGCATAGTGGGCCCACAAAGCGTCCGCGGCGGCGCGAACAGCGAGTAAGAAGCCATAGACCAGCAAGAAGGTGATGCAGAGAGGAGGGAGGAGGAGGAGCAGGAGGAGGAGGAGGAGGAGGAGGAGGAGGAGGAAGACAAAGGCGAAGACGAAGGCAACGACTGTGGGAGGGGGGGCGGCGCGAACAGCGAGTCCTGCTCAAGACGCGTGGCCGGATGTTGAGGCCGCCCCGGACCACTCGGGGGGCCTGCCGAGGCCAGGGGCTGCCCGTGCCCGGCCCGAGGCCTTGCCCCCTCCCCCTTCCTCCCCCTCCTCCCCCTCCTCCCCCCCCCTCCCTTCTCCCCCTCCTCCCCCTCCTCATCACCCTCCTCCTCCCCCTCCTCCTCCTCCTCCTCCCCCTCCTCCTCCCCCCCCCTCCAGCCCGGGCTCAGATCGCCTCCGCCGGAGGTCGCGAGCCCAAGCCAGGAGGCCCCCCGCCTCTGCCCTTCCCCTCTTCGCCCCCTTCCCCTTCCACTCAGCCCGCGCCATGTCCGTGCCTCCCTGGCGGGCGGCCCCGCGCCCACGGCGTGCGGCACCGGGGCGACGTGCCCAACGCCTGCGGGCCGAAGGCCGAGCCGTGCAGGTGCTCCTTCGCTGCTTCGACGAGCTCGGGCGGCATCGTGGAGGTTGTCCCTCCCGGCTGGGGGCGGCGCTGGCCACAGCCCTTCGTCCACCGCGGGCGGAGCCAGCCAGCGTCCGGAGTTCTGGTCAGCTTCAGGCGTTCCAACAAGTTTTTGCCCAGCCAACCGCAGGAGTTCCAGCCTCAGGAGTACCAGCAGCGGGAGTACACGCAGGAGGGGTACCAGCAGCAGGTGTACAGCCAGACCGGTCCCCTGCCGCCGCTGGAGTATCTGCAGCTGGCGTACCAACAGGCGGAGTTCTTGCAGCAGAAGTGCAGCCAGTCCGATCCCCTGAAGCCGCAGAAGTTCCAGAAGCAGGAGTTCCAGCTGGAGGAGTTTCAGTCCGGTCCCCTGCCGCTGCAGGAGTACCAGCAGCGGGTGTACCAGCAGGCGGAGTTCTTGCAGCAGGGGTGCAGCCAATCCGGCCCCCTGCAGCCGCAGGAGTACCAGCAGCAGGAGTACCAGCAGATGCACCCGCCCGGCCCCCTGCCGCCGCAGGAGTACACGCAGCAGGAGTTCAGCCAGCCGCAGGAGCTCCACTTCAAGCTGTAGCGCCCTCTTTTTTGCCCCACAGCCCTGCTGTGGCTCCAGGCCACACACACTTCAGAGATGACCAGTCTTCTGGGCTTTTTCGGCCCGTCGTAGCGGCCGCCCGGCAGGCGCCGCCTCTTGACGCAGTCACGGTCGCGCGGCAGCGCGGCTACAGTCCCGCGCTGCGCAACCTCGCCAACCGGCCTGAAGCAGCAGGCCACAGCGCACAAGTGCTTGCAGCGGTGCTCCTCGAGACTCGAGGCCTCGTGCACCCTGCCAGGGCACTGCTTGCTCGAGGCGGCCCTGGAGACTGACGCTTCGCTCTTTTTGAGGGGGGGGGGCCATGTCTGGGGTGTTCATGCGCAGCCTACTCCGAGCCGCTCGTTCACCTGACAAAAGTTGATTGGCCCCCCTCCACCTAGCAGCCGGCCTTTTTCAGGCTGCTGGACGGGTTCGTCTGGTCCCTGGGCGTACCCTCGACCCCGTTCAACGGGGTGGGCGGGCGTGAGGGACCCGATGTGCTCGTCCTCTCTCTCCTCCTCTCATGGCCTCCGATTGTCCGGTCCCTCCTCCCAGGCAGTGCTTGCGATATTGCACTTTTTCTCACGTACGTTGTCATTGCTTCACATTGCTATTGTTCATCCCTCGTTTCACCTTACAATTGCCCGGTTCACAATACAGCCACCTGGGACACCCACCGAGGTGCACGCCAGCTGCTCACCCCCGCGTCAGCAGCGGCCTCAGAGTCCCGCTCGTTTTCCCAGGCAATCTTACCTCGCGCTTGTAGTTTGGGATGCTTCTTCAGGCAGTGCATGCAGACATCGACGTGCGATGCAATGGTGGCGCACTCTGGGCAGCGACCGTGCTCTCCTCAAAGACGGGCCTGCCCCCTAAGGGGGCGGATCACACGGGAGAGTACGGCACGAACGTACGGCCAGTAGTTTCTTCCTTCAACTCGCACTCTTTTTTCCGCCATCAGTCACACAGGGCAAGGCTTGCAGCTCTCATCTCAAGAGCTCCGCGGTATCTTCAGGGGACCCCCTCCATCCTCCTCCTTGTCATCCTCCCTCCTCCCTCCTCCTCCCTCCCCCAGCGCGCTGCTCAGCAGCAACAAGGCGGTTCGACCGCCCACGGCCATTTTGGCCCTCCGTCCAGCTCCTCCTCTCTCCTCACGGTCTACTTAATTTGGGTAGGTATTCCCAGGCCAGATACTTCTTTTCTAGCCCTGCACTGCTCTCTGCCTCGAGGGCTGCCCTGCTATGGGCAACGAAGCAGGGCCCCGCTGATGTCTCTCTTCGCACGGCGCTGCAAACTCCTCTTCTCTCGTATATGATTCCTCTCTTCCCCTCCCGCAGCGCCAATACCTCTCTCCCGACAGTTTTCGGGACGAGAGCGGAAGCAGCTCAGCGTCCATGCTCTCGGGTTTCTCGTGTGCAGCCTGTGCCAGTCCTGTTGGCCGCTGCGCTCAAGCTAACTTGCAACGAGCTAAGTATAGTCAAAAAAAAAGCCCCCCCCCTCCTCCTCCTCCTCCCCCTCCTCCTCCTCCTGCTCCTCCTGCTCCTCCTCCTCCCCTCCTCCTCCCCTCCTCTCCTCCTCCTCCTCCTCCTCCTCCTCCTCCTCCTCCTCCCTCCTCCTCCTCTTCCTCCTCCTCCTCCTCCTCCTCCTCCTCCTCCCCCTCCTCCTCCCCCCCACCTCCTCCCCCCCCCATCAGAAGGGTGACGATGGGGACGCCACGGGCCTCGGAGGGTCCCTGTCGAGGCTTGTCGAGCCGGGTGCGGCCAGCGAAAGCGGCCAGGGATGGGCCGAAGGGGCAAGGATGCAAGGGGTACCCTTGGGAAGGCTGCCCATCCTTACCATGCGGGTCAACTGTACGCTTCTCCCTCCTCGTCCTTGTCATCCGCCGATCTGATTTCTTCGATGCGCGGCCCAAGGGGTCCCGACTCTTTTTTCCCTGGGGTCACTGATCCGCCCCAGATCCATTCTTGATGGCCTCGGGGCCTGGCAACGGGCCCCGGAGGGCGGGATCGCGAACAGACGCCCGGGATTGGGAAAACCCCCGTCGGAGATTTGGGCTCGTCCTCTCCTGAGATCCGAATGGAACAGCACAACCGAAGCACGGGACCCATCTGCGCCATTTTTCGAGCCAGATCGATCTGTGATGGTCCCAGGGCCCGAAAGAGGGCAAAAACGGTCGGCTCGAAAAACTGAGGCGCTAGGATCTAGGGGGAATCGTCGGAGATCTGGGGCTCTCCCTCGCGCCCGCTCCCAGGAGCAGGCCCGTCGGAAATGCAGTTCTCAGGCCACACCTGGGCTCTCCAGCGGCCGTTCGGGGGGCGGTCTGGGCACCCCCGTCAACGCTCTGGGCGCGGCGCGGCCGCTGGAAGGCATCCGGAGGCCGAGATCGAAGACAGACGCCCGGGCGGGGAAAAAACGCACCGTCGGGGAGCCCCCAGCGAGGCGCAGCCGCTGGAAAGCCTCCCGAGGCCAGGGATCGAAGGCGGGCGCCCCGGCTCGGAGAGAGCGCGCAGCGTCGGGGAGCCCGGCCCTTCCCCGCCCCCGCCCCCCCCGGGAGCAGGCCCCCATGGCGCGCCCGGGCAGCGCGGGCGCCGTGGCGGCCGCGCAGCGCCGCACGCGGCGGAGCGGCAGCCAGAGGTCCTGCCGCTCCGCGCCCGCGGCCCCGCCCAAGAGGCCGAGCGAGGCCCGCCGCGACGCCGTGGCGCGGCGGGCCGCCACGGAGGACCCCCGGGGGGAGCAGAGAGGCGTCGCCTCCGAGCGGGGAGCTGCCGGCGTGTCCCCATGGGGCGCGCTTTCCCCCGAGGCGTCGGGCCCGGGGACCCTCACAGATATCGATGCGGCTGGAAAAGTGACGCAGAGAGATGGGCTCTGGGGCCCTCCGAGCGCGATGTCGTGCGATGTTGCAACATGTTCTGCAAGAGCAGATCCGAGGAGAGGAGGAAAAGGGTTCGGCGTCCGATGTTGCAATATCTTCTGCAAGAAGAGATCCGAGGAGAGGAGGAAAAGGATTCGGCGTCCGTAGCTTTTGGGAGCCCCCTGGGGCCCTGAGGCTGGGTCAGGTACCACGAAAGGTCCTGGCCCCATTGCTGGCGGATCCGCCCTTTTCTACCCTCGTTGAGGGGATTTCCCTCCCATTGGCCTGCTCGCGGCTCTCTCGTGTGTTCGCTGGTGCGTCGGATATTCCTGTGCTCTAATGTTATGTCGGGCGTGTCCCCCTACGGGGGGATTTTCGACGACAAATATATGATACCCAGAAAATATACAAAAAAGGTCCAAAAATAGGGTCCAAAAATAGTCCCCAGACTATGTGTGGAATAGTTTGTGATTAGTTTTGGGGTATTTTTTATTGTTCGTCGAAAATCTTCCTGTAGGGGGACAGGCCCGACTTAATTCTAATTATTGGAGTTTTCGCTCCAGGTCCGCCTGCCCCAGGGGCCCCCCTCAAAGACCAGCTTTAAGCCCAGCTACGTTTCAAGGAGCGTTCGGTGCAAAGGTACCTACCAGCTTGGATCTGGCCTGGAACTGAGGTGACCGAGCACTGGTTCTCGCCAGCAAGAAAGGGGGGAGGTTCGAGTTCCTGGCTCGAGAGTTCCTTTTATTTTTTTGGTTCGGCGTCCTCCTGGGGCCATTTTCGGGCCCTGGGGCCAACAAAAACTGATACGGGGTGAAAAATTACACCAGGGACCGATTGATGCCAGGGCGCTTCTTGAGAGAGCCCGAGGCTACCCACCAGGGCGCTTCCCGGAGACGTCCGAAGTGTACCTACCAGGGTGCTCCCTTGAGGCGCCCGAAGGTCACTTGCCCGGGTGCGTTCCTAGGCAGTCCCCGAACGTATTTGCCAGGACGCTTCTCTGGGCAGCCCGACGGTACCGATCGGCGACGGGCCAGGGGGGGAAGCGAAAAGGGGCGGGCCTTCTCAGAAGGCTCGGAAGTCCACCGGCCTTCTGAGGAGTTTCCCAGGCCTCCCGGAAGACACAGACAAATGATCAGAAGGCGCGAGGGCTTCTGAGGAGTCCCGCCGCCTTCTGAGAAGGCCTTCTCCTTCTCATCTCCCCCCCTCGCTCGCCGCTGCCGCTACCCAGATCTCCGAAGATCTGTCGTTTTAGATCCTGGGCGCGTCTCCTCGCTTTTGGCCTCCGGAGGTCGGACTCGGGCCCCGGGGTTGTCGAACACGGAGCCGGAGCGAAGAGCTGCCCCTGCGGAAAGTGGATGGGGCCATGGGGGCGCGGATTGAGAAGTCTCCTCGATTTTGGCCTCCAGAGGTCAGAATCGGGCCCCGGGGTTGTCGAGCACGGATCCGGAGCGAAGAGCTGCCCCTGCGGCAAGTGGATGGGGCCATGGGGGCGCGGATTGAGAAGTCTCCTCGATTTTGGCCTCCAGAGGTCAGAATCGGGCCCCGGGGTTGTCGGACACGGATCTGGAGCGAAAAGCTGCCCCTGGGGAAACTGGTCGGGGCCATTGGGGCGCGGATTGAGAAGATCATGCCGTCGGATGGTTGGGACCCCTTGCTTCGTTTGCGCCTGGGCCTCCGGGGGGGGGCCCTCGTCGCCACGGCTGGACCCGCCTCGGGGTGCCGCGCCCCGCGAGAGGCCTGGGGAGTAGCGGTGTAAGCACATTTTGGTCACCGAGGACCTCCAGCAATACCTCTGGAGGTTCCTAGACATCCTCGCCTCCTGGCAAAATCACGACGCGAGGTTCTGGATAGATTTCGGCCTCCAGGGGCCCTCGCCGAGCCTCAGGACCGTCAAAACTGGCTTTGGGGCGTAGGTCAGGATTTCCAGGCACCCCCTTGAAAAAGACGTCATGCACATCAACTTTCGGAGGTCCATCCAAACTTCTCGGATCGGCGCTGGGTCCCCCTCCCTGGCGCGAGGAGTGCGCCATGGAGGCGCCGCCAGGGGGGCGCGGATCCGAGAAATCTGCGCGGAGCTCTAAACGTCGGGGAAGCGCAGACATGGATTTTAAGGCAACGTGGATTCCCGACGGGTCCCGTTGTCATACAGAATCGGCGCTGGGCCCCCCTGGCGGCGCCGGAGGGCGCGCTCCGCGCGCCACGGAGGGGGGCCCAGCGCCAATCCGAGAGATCCGCGCGGAGCTCTGACAGTTTGTGTTTCCACCGGTTCTTTCCTCCACCCGGGAGGACAAAGGCACCGACGCCGCTGGCCCTGCCTTGTTTTCAGCGTGCTGGGCCTGCTGAAACACCCTCGTCGCCACGGCCGGATTCGCCTCGAAATCCAGAGGAGTGGCGGTGGCGGTATAGTTGGGCTTCCCCGAGGACCACCAGCGGTACCTCTGGAGGTTCGGCTTCGGGCGGGGGGGCACCGACCCCGTGCTCCAGATCTGCGCCTCCGGCCACGTCGAGGAGGACGGCCACACGCGGTACGTCCTCGACCTGAGCCTCCGCCCCGCCGCGCAGGAGGGTCGGGCGTTGCTAAAGGTGCCCCTGGCCCAAGGTGCCCCCAGCTTTTCGCTCAACTCTGGGGCCTCCGGGGCCCTCTGGGCCTCGTGAAAGGTGCTCTGGAGGCCGTGGCGGCCTCCTTGGAACTCCTGGAGGCACCTTGGGCCAGGAGCACTTCCGGCAACACCCGAGAGGGAGGCGTGCCCCCGTGCTCCTGGCAGTGCAAGCGGCGCTTGGCGGAGCTGCGCGAGTTCGTGCACGACCCCGTCAAGGAGGCCATGGGCGTCGAGTACCAGACGCACTTCTCGAAGAGGGAAACAGCCGGCATAGGCATAGACTTTCGGAGTCGGGTGTTGCGCCATGCGGGGGCAGCAGATTGGGGGTGAGGAAAGGTGCACCCTGTGCATACCGGAGGGGCCCAGAAAGAGCCACGAAAGGTTGTAAGTTTCTTCGTCCCCCCTTTATCGACCCCCCACTAAGCCACGCCCGCCCAACAGAGGTCAGCGCGGACTTCTTGGATCGGCACATGAGCGCCCTGGCAGCGCCTCCGGCGCCGCCCTCGGCGCGCTCCACGCGCCAGGGACGGGGCCCAGCGCCGATCCAAGAGATCCGCGCGGGCCTGCGAGCATGGATGTTCACGTCCAAGACGCTGAAATAAGGACACCGCCATGTTGCACGCACGTGGGCGCCAACACCAATCCGCGGAGGTACCAATACTCCCCAGACCTCTCCCAGGGTGCGTTCTGACCAGAACTTCAAATCGAATCATGCCGTGGCGACGAGGGCCCCGCCAGAAGGCCCAGAAAGGCGAAGGCGAGGCAAGGGCACCCAGACATCCGAAGGCATGATTTGTTCCATCCGCGCCCCGATGGTCCCGACCACTTTCCTGGGGGGCAGCTGTTCGCCTTGGGTCCGTGTTTGATGGTCTCGGGGCCCGATGTCGACCCCCGGATGCCGAGATCAAGGAGAAGCGCCCAGAGTCAGTCAATCAAAGGCGGGGCACCCGGGAGGACGCATAGGCAAGACGAGTTGTGCACGTTGGCACGCTCGCGACTGCAGGTGAAGCATGAAACAGACACGCGAACGCTTGCTCCGGCCACGGGGAGGTGGGGGGAGGGAGGTGAAAGAAGAGGACAAGGAGGAAGGAGGAGAGAGCGAAGGAATCAAGCGCGGAGGCTGGCATTACACGTGCTGTGTAAGCTGGCGCATTCCAGCGCCCAGGGCGAAAAGAAACCGTCGTCGGAGACTGGGGCGAGGACTGCATGCCGACGTTTCTCCTTCGAACTTCGCAGACAGCCGCTTCGCGCACCGCGGCGGCCCGCCCGGCACCACTTCCAGGCGTGCAGCATCGCTCAACCGGTCCCCATCCCCACTGGGCCATGGCGTCTCGGCCCCACCGGTTGGAGGGTGAAAGCAGGGGTCGGCAATAGGGGGTCTTCAGTGGGGGCTGGCCCATGTATTCGGGTGTTGCCAGAAGTGCCCCTGGCCCACGGTGCCCCCAGGATTTCCAAGGAGGCCCCCACGGCCTCCAGAGCACCCCTGACGAGGTCCAGAGCGCCCCAGGTGCTCCAACATTCAACGAAAAGCTGGGGGCACCTTTGGCCAGGGGCACTTCTAGCAACACCCGGTGTATGCTCAATGTATTGCTCATGTATGTGGTCGGGCACGAGTGGCATCCAAAGTTGGCGGCCATGGAGGGCCAGTCGTTCGTGCCCGCGCGTTGCCCGCGCGGGCAAACGCGCCGTCCATTCATTATCCTTCATGCGTGCGGGCGTTCTTGCACATCGCGCGTGGG